ACCGCAAAAAAAAAAAAAAAAAGAAAAAAATATTGTAAAGTACAGACGTGAAGCGTCTTGGGATGCTCTTGGAATGCGTGAAGTTTCTGACTGCTGCGGGCCCAGCAAAGTCTAAGTGCCCTATGAGGTGTGAGACCCCAATCTAGAATACATAGCGTGTGTTGTCCTCGGGGGACGTGGAAAGGGGAGGAAGACTAGTTTCGTTTTACAAACATTTTTGATAATGGACTAGATTGGGCTAGGGTTTCTTTATGACTCAGGGCTGGGCAAGCGAGTTGATTCACTTCTTTGGGCCCGAGTCCGTGGGCAGAAGTGCTGTGCTAGGCGCTGTGGATCCAGCCCTCGTGGAGCTTGCATTGCAGTAGGGGGAGATGTATACAGTGCAGTAGTAATTACAATAAAGTGACAACGTTTGATAGGGAAAGGAAAGTCAGTACAAATCAGATGAGTTTCTCTGTCTTTAAAACGACGATATTAGACTAGTATCTGTAAGTCAGTGCTGTTCTGCTTTTGTGTTTACACATTAAGTTCCCAAATTTATTTGAAGAAAGGATTACTAGGCCAAAAAGAAGTTTTAAACAACTGGACTTATATCTGAAGACTCTTCCAGCACTGGCATTTTGTGATTAAAAAGGGGTCAATTTCCAGAGCGAATTCAGGCCGCAATAACCAAGTAAGGTAATATTTAAGAGGAAAAATCTTGAAGGTGCATTCAGATGCAACAAATTCACTTTGAAAATGGTGCCTTTGGGGACTTCCCTGGTGGTCCCGTGGTTAAGAATCCACCTTCCAATGCAGGGGACTTGGGTTGAATCCCTGGTTAGGGAACTAAGATCCCACGTGCCCCGGGGCAACTAAGCCCCCGTGCTGCTGCAACTACTGAGCCCGCGCACCACAACTAGAGAGAAGCCCACGCGGCGCGAGGCGAGTTCCTGCATGCCGCAACGAAGGTCCCTTGTGCCATAACTAAGACCCGACGCAGCTAAATAAATAAATAAATATTACCAGAAAAAGAAAGAAAATGGTACCTTTGCCTTAAAAATCATAAATAATCTAGTATTTGCAATACTGTTTGTAAATTAGCTTTTCTACTACCCCAAGATGAATGAAATTTACTATTCTCTAGTGTATATCCTGATAGACTTTAAGCCTATTAATCTGACCTTTTTTCTAATTAATTTATAGGCAGATATAAACCCTTACCCCCACCTCTATTAAAATTAAACATAGAAGAAATATCTGGATTTATGCAAGAGATATTCTGTAAGTTGCTTGGGAAAGATGATATGTGCTTCTCCAAACTAATTAAGATTTCTTCAAAAAGCTAGGAGCGTGGAAATGCCTTAGGCTTTAAAAGTTGGGCAGATCTTGCTTCTAATCAGTTAATTACCTAGTTATGTGGCCTAGACAGTAACTGTTTATAAGTCAGAGTTTCCTCCTGTGTACAAATGGCAATAATTTTGCCTGCCTGTTTAGCTAGACTGTGAAAATTAAAATACGTGAAAGCCCCAAGTAGAGAATCTGTCATATAGGTATTATTTAATAAATGTTGTCTTTCATACTTTTTTCCTTCCTTCCCTAGTATATTCCAAATGTTTCCATCTCCCTGTCATGTTTTTTTTGGGGGCGGTCTTCTCAGGAATACATCTAATGGACTTAGCAACATACAGTAGTGTATGGTTTTTCTGTATGTTTGTTTTAATATTCTTCCCACACACTTGCAGCTTTTGAAAATGGAGTAAAATTCCATAGCAAAGTGCCTGGGCAGAGTTGGTGGTCATTAGTAGCTGAATTTTTAACTTTATGAGACTGACACTGAGTAACAGTTTTAATGTCTGAATTCTGCATGGAGTCATATTATAGTGAGATTTCTGGTTATTCTAAGTTTATAAAGGAGCCCTTTGAACCTTTCAAAAGCCTCCAGTTTTTGTTGTTTCTTTAAACTCTTTCAACGTCTCCACAAGGCATAGTGTACCATCCTCTCAGTTTTTTCTATGTGTGGATGGTATAATATAGAAGTTGCCAGTTTGCATCTGATACTCAGTTTCAGTGAGCTAGGATTAAAATTGAGGTTTCCTGGCTCTTTGGCCATTCTCTTGTTTTTGGTGTCCTGGGATCACCTGAATAAAGTAATATAAATAGCAAACACTTATATAGAATGCTTGCTATGTGGTTGACCCTGTTCTAAGTGCTTCTACATATATTAAATTCTCATGACAACTAGTAGAGAGAGAAACTATCTTGCCCAAAGTCACACAGCTGTTAATAGACAGACTGGGGTTTGAAACTAGCCAATCTAACTCCAAAGTCAAGACTTTTAACTCCTATGCTATACTAGAAATAGATTTATGTGTAGCTCAAATTGCTTAAGTTTTAAAAGTTTTTGTTTTGTTTTTAGGTTGGTTAGATTTTCCAGGTAATTAAAGCCTATCCAAACTATTATTTTCTGATTATTTAAATATTCTTTCATTGAGTGCTTATTTTGTTTAAAAAAAATCTTTTCATGCTTATAGGCATAAGGGCCACTTGTTCTGAAATTATTTTGAGGCAAGAAGTTTTGAAAGATGGTTTCCACAGGTAAGTTGCCCATTGACTTATACTTACATCAAAATACTGTTTCAATGTAATTTAAAGCAAAAACTCAATAGTTAAAAATGGATAAACTGAAAAAAAATTACTTGCCTTCTTAGAGTTATAAGTGACAGATACGTGATTCATAGTCTGAAATAATGATTAAAATAACAGTGGAGAAGAGAAGGAGAAAACAAACATTTATTATTTACTACACATATCTATTATATATTTATATAGCCAGAAGCTGTATATACAGTATTCCGTTTAATCTTCACAATGGTTGTAAGATAGATGATACCTTTCTTGTATTTCAGATGAGGGACTAGGGCTCAGGGAATTTAAATAATTGTGTAGAGGTTAGGGTGGTAGAGCTCTGATTCAAATTTATGACTATCATACTCCAAAGCCACACTCTCAAGTACTAAGATATTATACCACCCTAAATCACTATTTCTAATTTACAAGACTTGGTTCCAAAGACCAAACTATTTCCAAAAAAGAAACTATCCTCAAAAATGAGTATTTGCCAGTGTTAAAGATATTTAAAAGACTGGTAATATGTTGTGGAAACTGTTTCATAAGAAATTCCCAAACTTTAAAGCTTCTCAAGGTGGTCACTTTGAAATTATTATCAGATATTTGACTTATAAATTCTGATACATATATTTTAAAAATCCCTTCATTTTATAAGCCACCTTAAACTAAAACAACTCACTCTCCTCACTCTTCAATGTTAGCCTACAAGTGAATGGCTAGGAGGTGTAGTAGAAAGAACTTGTTTTTTCTGTTTGTTTGTTTTTAATTCAGATAAATTTGGGCTCAAAATGTAGCTCTGTTATTTAGTATCTGTGTGGCCTTAGTCAAGTTACTTAAGTCATTGCTACCTTACTGTTAAAGGTGGATAATGATAGTATTTCCTTATTAGGGTTGTGATGATTAGATCAGAGAATATATGGAAAGCTCCTTAATGTAGTGCTTGTTATATAGCACATACCCAGGAAATGTTAGCTATCATTATTATCATTATTATTTTTTGTGGTACGCGGGCCTCTCACTGTTGTGGCCTCTCCCGTTGTGGAGCACAGGCTCCGGACGTGCAGGCTCAGCGGCCATGGCTCACGGGCCCAGCCGCTACGTGGCACGTGGGATCTTCCCGGACCAGGCCGTGTCCCCTACATCGGCAGGCAGACACGAACCCGTGTCCCCTACATCGGCAGGTGGACTCTCAACCACTGCGCCACCAGGAAAGCCCAGCTATTATTATTAATAATGAGATAGGTGATCAATCTGGGCAGTACAGTTTCAAAGAGGAGGTGTGACTATAAAGTATAAAACTGACTTTGGGAGGGAATTCACTTCTGAAAGGAGTTTTTGACAGAGTTCCAGACACATTTTAAGCGATATCAGGGTAATTATGCCAATTATATAGCTTCTCTCTTTAACGTAATTGGAATGTATTTTCAAGAGGAATGGGAGATAACTGATTCCAATAAGGAAGAAAGAAGTAACTGAAGAGACTATCGTGACAACAAAAGTAGCTGTCCAACTCTAAGTAATGAGGATAAAAAGGATATAAAACCAACAGTGAAGAGTGACAGAGCCCATAAGAATAGCTTCAGAAACTAGAAATCTCAGAGTTATTTGAGACCTTCAGAAAATGCCAACAGTCATTTTTTAAAAAGGCTTTTTTAGTTATGTTTAGAGCAGGTATAGTCTTGAGAGGGTAGACGAAGAAATATTAACATATCATAGAAAGTAGAATTTGTTAGCCCCTCTTATTTCTGTCTTCTTGGTCAAGAAGAATTAATCCCACTCTGGAAAGGGCCAAGTGGTTATTAGTAGTAGGAAACTGAAGTGCAGAAAATGTAAGGGAATTAATTACACAAAAGGGCCTTAACGAATATAAATGAGTTTAGAGTCTCCCCTCTCCGATGAATTATATCTCATTGAAGTAGGAGAACTTGCTTAAACCATTGCTGAACTTCTGTTTATAATCTTTGGATGATCTGGAAGTTAGTTAGTTATTGTAGATTCTGGGCAAAATTCTAGGCCAGATTGCTAAAACGATGGTTTGTGAACACAGAATAGAAACTGTTGGTTTCTGGGGACTTGCATGAATAAGCTTTATTACAAGCTTATTTCTTTTATAGAGTTACTGGATAGGTGGATCAGAGGAATGCTATAGCTGTAGTATATCTGATTTTCTGCAAGTCTTTTGATGAAATTTACGTGTTATATTTGAGAACAAGATGAAGAATGTGAACTGAAAGGTAACACAGGTGAATAACTTCAGAAAGATTAACAAATACATACGACGTGTTTTGGTTAATTGGTTGAATTCATCTTGGAGGGAGGTCCTGAAGAGTCTCTGTCTTTTTAAATATATGTTTTTTCTGATGATAAGATATTACATGTTCACAAATACATATATAGTATCCAGAAGAAAAGAGATAATAGATATAGTCTACTTTAGAATATATTTAGAAGAATTAAAGCAATATATAGATAGATAGATAGACTGCTCTTGATATTTTATAGAGGCAGAATGAAATAGTGGCTAACAATTTGGGCTCTAGAGTATAACTACTGGAGTTTGAATCTTAGCTCTTGGCTGAATTACTTAGTCTCTCTGTGCTTTGCTTTCCTTTCCCTCTTTCTTTTCTTGAAAGAGTGAAAATATTTTTGTTTACTCACATGTATATACACAACTTTTGGATTTAATTGATTTTTATATTCTGTGATTAGCTTTTACATCACTAGAAATGATATTATGGGGCAAAATAGAATATAACAATGCCATAGAAACTATTCAGAATTCTTTCAGTGAATGCAAATTATTAGGAAAATAAACTGCTATATGTAAAATTACCTCAGACTACTTTAAAGAATAAAAGCAAAAAATATCTATAGAGATAGCTGCTCTTGATATTTAATTCTTGGAATTTCTGCTGTGTTCCTAGAGCAATGAGTTCATATAAGTTTATTGATTATCTGAGAACCAGAAACTAATATCATACGTAAAGCCTGAAAACGTTTCCCCATACTTTTTAAGTTGGAGATGACAATTTTTCTATGAAGAGAGTAACATGGGTATTTTATCCTAGTGCTTTGTTTTCTTACAGGTAAAATAGGAATTATAATAGTACTATTTTGTAGTGTTTTTTTTAAAATTAATTTATTTATTTTTGACTGCGTTGGGTCTTCGTTGCTGCACGCGGGTTAATTTCTTTAGTTGTGGTGAGCAGGGGCTACTCTTCGTTGCGGTGCGCCGGCTTCTCATTGCAGTGGCTTCTCTTGTTGCAAAGCACAGGCCCTAGGCGCGTGGGCTTCAGTAGTTGTGACACACGGGCTCAGTAGTTGTGGCTCGCGGGCTGTAGAGTACAGGCTTGGTAGTTGTGGCACATGGGCTTAGTTGCTCCGCGGCATGTGGGATCTTCCCCCACCAGGGATTGAACACGTGTCCTCTGCATTGGCAGGTGGATTCTTAACCACTGCACCACCAGGAAAGCCCCCATAGTGGTTTCTTTTTTATAAACTTCATTGAGTTTGACAACTGTATACACCCATGTAACCATGTAACCAGTCAAAATATAGAACATTTTCATCATCTCCAAAAATACTCATGTGCTACTTGCAGTTATTCTCCCTCACCCATACCCACACTTAGACAATCACTGATCTACTTCTGTTACTAGATAGATTTTTTGGAATTTTATATAAATGAAATCATACGGTATGTACTTTTTGATATCTGGCTTCTTTCACTCAGCATTATGTCAATGAGATTTAATGATGTTCTGTATGGTAGTAATTTGTTCTTTTTGTTGCAGAATACTGAAATTTGTTTATTCATTCACATATCTATGGCATCGGAGTTGTTCCTAGTTTTGGGCTATGATAAATAAAGCTATAATGAGCAGTTGTGTACAAGTCTTGGCGTGGACATGTTTTCATTAATTTTGGGTAAATATCAATAAACAGAATTGCTGGGTATATGATAGATAAATGTTGAACTTTTTAAGAAACTGCCAAACTGTTTTCCAAAGTGATTATGCTGGTTTTTTTTTTTTTGGCGGTACGCGGGCCTCTCACTGTTGTGGCCTCTCCCGTTGCTGAGCACAGGCTCTGGACGCACAGGCTCAGCGGCCATGGCTCACGGGCCTAGCCGCTCCGTGGCATGTGGGATCTTCCCGGACCGGGGCACGAACCCGTGTCCCCTGCATCGGCAGGCGGACTCTCAACCACTGCGCCACCAGGGAAGCCCGATTATGCTGTTTTACATTCTCATCAGTAATGTATGAGAGTTCTGTTTCATACATTATGAAACAGAATTTGCCAGCCACGTCCTTACCAGCACTTGATATGGTCAGTCTTTTTAATTTTAGACTTTCTGGTGGATCTCATTGTAATTTTAATTTGTATTTCCCTGATGAGTAATGATATTGAGCATCTTTTTGTGTGCTTATTGTCCACTAGTATATCTTCCTTTGTGAAGTGTCTTAGCCTTTTTTTTTTAATTGAAGTATAGCTGATTTGCAGTGTTGTGTTAATTTTTGCTGTACAGGAAAGTGATTCAGTTATACATACGTATACATTCTTTTTTATGTTCTTTTCCATTATGTTTATCTGAGGATATTAAATATAGTTCCCTGTGCTATACAGTAGGACCTTGTTGTTTATCCATTCTATATGTAATAGTTTGCATCTGCTAACTCCAAACTCCCAGTCCATCCCTTCCCCTTGGCAACTACAAGTCTGTTCTCTATGTCTGTGAGTCTGTTTCTGTTTTGTAGGTAGGTTCATTTATGTCATATTTTAGATTCCGCATATAAGTGATATCATATTGTATTTTTCTTGTTTTGACTTGTGAAGTGTCTTAGTCTTTTGTCCATTTTTAAACTGGGTTGTTTGTTATTTTATTATCAAGTTTTAAGAATTCTAATTTTTTTTTTTTTCTGCGGTACACGCGCCTCTCACTGTTGTGGCCTCTCCCGTTGCGGAGC